TGCACCTAGACTGATACAGCCATCATATGTGATTGTTCTTTTTTGCCGGGCTGCTCTCAGGATTGTTTCCTTTCCTTTAATATTGAGAAATTTATTATATGTCGTGGTGAAAAAAAAGCAAAAAAGAGTGTCAACAAAACAACTAACAAACTAAAGGAACACAATACGAAAAAATTATTATGAAACTTGAAACCAGTAACACTGTAAAAACCAACAAAGAGATGCCAACAATACCATATTTATCACTATCGCTGAATGTGAATGTTTTAAATTCACTAGTTGAGACAAAGACTAATGAGTGGTTAATAAAACATGAACCTTTATAATATGTGGTGACAAGAAACACACCTTAGATATAAAAACAAACAGACTAAAAATCAAAGGATGGAAAAAAATACATCAAACAAGAGTAAAAAGCAAACTGGTGTAACAATATTAATTATCAGACAAAACAGACAAAGTAAAAGACAAAATGAGATACAAAGAAGGTCACTATAAATTATTAAAGCTTTAATTAAACAAGAAACCATTATTATAAGTGCACCAAATTAAAAAACCATAAGAATACATTAAATCAAATTCTTACAGAAATAGACAAGTTAGACCATAATGCAATGCTACGAGACTTCAACACATTGCTTGTGACCAAAGATCAACTAGAAAGAACAAAAGAAAAATTAGCACAATCAATTTGATCTTAGATATACAGTATACAGAACACTTCACCTAACAAAAACTCATTTCACTCTTCCTCCTAGCATTCAAGGCACCTACTCCAGACTAGATAGTCTTGTTGGCCATAAAGCAAGATTAAACACATTTAATACACTGAGCTACTACAAACCTTCTTTTCATATCACAATGTCATAAAACTAGAAATCAACCACCAAAAGACCAACTCCAAAAATTCAAATACACAGAAATTGAACAATACTTTAAAAGCACCAGGTGATTAAAGAAATAAAGAACAAGGAAGATTCCGTGAAACAAGTGAAAATGAAAAGAACCTATCAAAATCTTTGAGGCACTGTAAAAGCAGTAGTTCGAGGGAGTTTTTAGCGATACTACATCCATTAAATAGACAAAATAAAATAAACACCCTTAAAAAAAAAAACACCTTAATACATGAACTACAACAATTGGAAGAAGGCCAGCAAAATAAACCCTCATATACTAGAAGAAAAGAAGTGGGATTCATATAGACTATGCAAGGATGGTTTACTATTAGAAAAACCAATGCACTTCATTCACCACATAAACAAGAGCCATATGATTTTATCTATTGTGGAAGAAAAAGCATTTGTTAAAATTCAACAGCCATTCCTGCTAAAAACACTCAATAAAATAGGAAGAGAAGGGAAATTCCTCAACCTGTACCTGTGAAATCAACAGCTGATGTCTCACCTAATAGAGAGAAAGGGGAAACATTCTCCCTTTGAATGGATCACGTCTTTCCTTATATACAGTCCTGAGAGTTTTAGCTAGAGTTGTAAGACTTCAGAAAGATATTTAAAGTGTCCCCGTAGGCACAAAACTCTTTATTCACAGATATGCTTGTA